AAAAAAAAAAAAAGATATTGTGGTATGGTTGTCACGACAGCTAAATATATCAATGAAAGTGAATAGAAACTTCAGAAATAGATTCACAAATCAAATTCCATTGATTTTTGGAAAAAGTGTAAAGTGCACAATAGTCTATTCAACAAATGATGTTGAAACAATTGGACAGTCACACGCCAAAAAAAAAATTTAAATCCTAACAGTCATTGCCCCATTTGAGAGGGGATTGGCTGAGGATGGGTAGAAGAGAACTTTCTAGGGTGGTGTTAACATTCCATATTTATGACTCAGTGCTGTGGCTCAAGTGGCTAAGGCACCAGCCACATACACCTAAGGTGGTGGGTTCAAATCCAGCCTGGGCCTGCCAAACAATGACTGCTGCAACCAAAAATAGCCGGGTGTTGTGGCGGGTGCCTGTGGTCCCAGCTACTTGGGAGGCTGAGGCAGGAGATTAGCTTCACCCCAGGAGTTGGAGGTTGCTGTGAGTTATGATGCCACAGCACTCTACCCAGGGGGATAGCTTGAGGCTCTGTCTCAAAAAATAAAATTCCATATTTATTAAGGGTATGAGCTACTTGATTGTACTCATTTATGAAGTTGTTATGAATTTTGATTTGTGAATTTTACCATATGTAAATTTTACCCTAAAAATACCTGTAAACAAATATCTACTCTGGTAAGAAGATTTGCTTTTGTAGTAGTATGAGTTAACAATTCTGAAAATCTCCTCGGCGCCTGTAGCTCAGCAGCTTGGGTGCCCACCACATACACCAGAGCTGGCAGGTTTGAATCCAGCCTGGGCCTGCCAAACAACAATGACAACTACAAGAACAAAACAGCTGGGCGTTTTGGCAGGCACTTGTAGTCCCAGCTACTTGGGAGGCTGAGGCAAGAGCATTGCTTAAGCCTAAGAGTTTGAGATTGCTGTGAGCTGTGACACCACAGCACTCTACCCAGGGCGACACCTTGAGAATCTGTCTCAAAAAAAAAAAGCAAACAAACAAAAAAAACAATTTTGAAAATCTCTTTTGTGTAATCTAGGCATGAGGAAACAAGTAAATATTGGCTCGGCGCCTGTGGCTCAAGTGGCTAAGGCACCAGCCACATACACCTAAGGTGGC